ACACAAAAAATTAAAGGTTCATGAATTAAGTTGAGATTTATTAGACACAACATCAAAAATTTATGAATTTATTAGGCATAATTCTGGGAGTTCATGACCAAATTTATAATTTGAGTATTAATTTATTAATTCATATTTTAACACTCCCCTCATTTGTAGGCAGACTTGAAGAGATGGCACCAAGGAGGAGCTCCATTTGCTCGTGAATGGTCAAGAAACCATGGGCGGGGGTCTTGGAGAGGAGATAGGAGACCACGTGGTTGCGCTTGTACCTGGCGGCGATCAAAAGTGGGGTTGAGTTTCCAGAGCCGCGAATGAGGGCCAAAGCTTTGCACTTGTGGACCAGTATGTTGGCAATATCCACAGCGCCTTGTGCGGCGGCGATGCAGAGGGCAGTGTTGCCGTATCTGTTTTTAGAGGCCAACTCGTGCTCGCCGAGGCACTGCACCAACTTCTCAACGAAAGAAGCCTTCATGGCTCTAGTGGCAATGTGGAGAGGCGTTTCCATAGTTGTGTCGCTTATTACCATGGACAGAGCTCCCGGGTACAGCCTTTCCATTTCTTCCGCCGTCTTCCACTCACCCTTCACCGCTGCTTTGTACATCTGAGCCCGCTGCCAACTCTCCACCATACTTTTTCTTCCTGAAAAAGGAAATTTTTAATTATTGTGTTAACTACCTATGCTTTCTTGATTTTAGATAATTAAATGAGTTTCTCTCTAAAATTTATGGTATTTAATAATAAATAAAAAAGGCTTTTGAAAAATCAAATCCTCGCTAACAAATTTTGACTTGGAAAAAATTATACAAATTCGATTTCTTCTAGAAACAAAAATATATATATATAGTGATTAAAAACAATCTTAAGTTTAGTCAACCGAACATAGCTCAAATGGTTAAGGCACCTACTCCTCTCTCTATGGAATCCTCTCCACTTTTTTCTTTTCTCCCCCCTTTCTTCTATCCCTTTCTATCTTTTCTTCCCTCTCTTTTTAATTTCTCTTTCAACACTAATTTCAAGCAAGAAAACAACATCTTTGAGCAAGGACAAAAATCGAGAAACCCACATAAATTGTCTCCGTCTTCCTATTCAAATCAACCCCAAATGAGAGCAGATTAGAAAAATCCATAAAATTTGTTGAACAAATTAAATAAAGAAGACTAATGAGATAAATCATCCATTTTGTTCTCTTTTTTTCCCCCTTAGAAACAAGCTTACCGGCCGGTTAAAATCGTTGCCTACTTTCCGGCGACAGCCACAACTTTTCCGACGAGCTTCCGACTTTTCAAATCCACTTCTAGAGAGCTCTTTTCCTCTCTCTTGCTTCCCATCATCCCCTTCTCGACCTCTCTCTTTCTAACACCCACTATGGGTTTTATTAAGAAGCCAACAACTTTTTTTATTTTTATTTTTAATTTCCTCCTTCCAAGGTTTTTTCTCCCTCCACCTGACTTTCACTCCTTTCCAAATGATTGATACAAAGGAGTCTAAGGACCATTTTGAAAAATTTAAAAGTAATGGTTTCAAATTTAGCGACTAATATTCTTAACAACCTCAAGTGGGAAGTTGGGTAAGATTTATTAATATTCCTAGGACGAATCTATCTCCAAAATCAATTGACAAAGAGATGATTAGTCTACGTTTATTAATATATACAAGATAATTTTTCTTTTCAATGTGGGATCCTTAACAGGATCAGAAGACCGTTGTTTAAGTTGAGAGTTTAAAAAACACTTCTAAAACTAAAGGAATTAAATTCAAATTATAAACACTCAATTGAAACTTTTAAACTATAGATGCTAAATTTGTAATTGAACCACATAAAGATGGGTAGGTCAAAAAACTCCGTTTGTACCAAGCACATTTGGTGAAATCATCGATTCAATTACCTTCTCATATATCAACGGTTGAAGGAATGACATTAATAATAAGAACTTTGGTAGCAATTTTTAATAGAAAGTTCAAAAGTTGAAACTTTTCTAATTTTAGATGCTACGTAGATAAAATCATCAAAAAGTTCAACATTAAATTTATAATTTAACAAAGAAAAAGTTTAAAGTTGAATTATATTTCAAAATGATCCATTGAGAATGTCTAAATAATATTTATGTTCCTACTACAACTTGATGAGATTATGTTCATTATAGATCTTGAACTTTGATGAGGTTTGGTTTGAATCTATTTTTCATAACTGGTATTTCATTTTCTAGTTTTTGTTGTTGGCTTGTGTTCTACTTTTGTTTTGTTGTGTCTTTTTTTTCCGTTGTTCTACTACTTTTTATTGTCATCTTTCTTTGATTGATTCTTTTATGTCCAATCTTAGGTCGTGAGATGTTTTTTTACCCACGATATACCTAACATGTGCCCCCAACAAAAGGAGAAAAAAAATCTCCACATGACTAAGAAATTAACATTAATTAATACAATGTAATTAGTTTACTCGTTTTGGGAGAGAGAGTTGGAAGTATTAAATAACATATATTACCACCCCACTATAATTAGTTAATATAGTTTCATTAGTTAAATGGCAACTCCCCTAGGCCACACCCCTTTCAACTCAACCACTCAAAAAACGACTTAGTATTGGGAGTTGTGAAGTAAACGAAATATGCTCTCTCATGCAAATGCCGGCAGGGAAAAATATATATATATATATGACCATTACTTTTATATATTTTTTAACAAACATCTACTTTTTTTAATGAGATCGGTATCAATAAATATTTCTTCAAAAATTGAAAGAATAAATATTTCACTTTTTTAAATAAGTTAAAAATTATTATATCATATTATGTCTATATATACTGATAATATTTATTGATATTTTGTCCATTTTAAATGCAATACTGTAGAAATATTAATTATTATATCATATTATGTCTATATATACTGATAATATTTATTGATATTTTGTCAATTTTAAATGCAATACTGTAGAAATATTAATTTAACCTTCATGCAACGACTTATTTAGAAAATTTTGAAAAATTTTAATCTTGACTAGTGGAATATTTGACATCTTTTTATTTAGAAAATAAATTTTCAATTTTGTATTTATCTCTTAGTCATCAAACATTCCATGGTAGTAAAGACAAATATATCCTCATGGGTAAGTAGCTAATTATTTTCTAGAAATTAATACTATAATAATATTTAACCATTATAAAATATGAGTTGTTTAATAACTTATTATCAATCGTAGGTTTTTTTTTTCTTTTTATAATAAGACGCCACCAAATTTTAATAAATATCAGCCGTGGTCTCGTTAGAGTAGAAACTAGTTCAGAATTAATTTATCACCATCTTCGGTCATATGACGTGGCATAATTAATTATCTACACACTTCTGCTTTTTAAATAATTTTTAAGCAGGATTTTAATAATATATATGATGAAATGTTTATTAACAGAGAGTTTTGTTATCTGGCATTTTCAGTTTAACCTTTCTATAGTTATTTCTGTTACCTTTATATAGGGTGGATGATCGAACTCACCATCTTTAGTTGGAAGTATATGTCAATTACCGCTGAGTTATACTTGGTTTAACAAAAAAATTATATTATATTAACATTAAAATTGATTAATTAGAAAGGATTCAAATTTCAATATTTTAAAGATTGAAATAATTTCAAATTTCTAATTATATATGGAATTAAATGAATTTCAAAGCATTGAAATTAAAATTTATTGTTTGAATGCTTAGAGGTAAACAAATTATAACATTTTAGTATTATGCCTTTATAATTTTGCATGTATTATATTAATAATAAAATAATATATTAATAAGAAATAGATAGTAATCAATCTAACCCTCTTCATTACCCTTCTATCTTTACTTTTTTTTTCTTCCTCTCCCCCCTACCTCCGCGATATTCCCTTCCTCAGTCACCTGCGTCCCGTGTGCTTCCTCCCCTCCCTCCGCACCTCCGTCGTTATCGTTCCCTCCTTCCACCCTCATTGGTCTTTCTACCTCCATCCGTCGGCCGTGGATATGTCATCTCCATCGTTCTGTCCCTCACCACCGCTCTTCTTCTTCCTTTAGGGTACAATCTCTACTTGTTATGTTGTTTTTTTTTCAAATCAATTTGAGTATATATCTTGAAATAATATGATGCCACCGTTGTGCTATCACCACGGCTTCTCTCTTCCGTGTCTTTCTGTCGTTCTTCCTCGGTAAAATTCCAAAGTTTGTAATCTATTTTTCTCTATGTTTGTTAAAGGCTCAAATTAATGTTATTTTTAAATTAGTCATTCATTTTGTAGTTCAATAAATGTTTGTTATAATCTCTTTGGCTATTTTTTAAGTTCCATGTCTTTAATTAATTTTGTTTGATTGATGTGTAGTTCATTTTCTTATTTTGTAAAGATAAAATAATTGGTTCATTGGTTTTTGCGTGGAGAAATAATCCAAGTTTCTCTTATTTAAAATTCCTCATGAACAGTTTATTTGTAAAATTTTCCATAAAATGAAATCACAGTTAATAACTTCTCCATCTCTTTTTCGAAATTCAACAATAATGTAGAGTGAGAATAGGAATATTTGATCTTGAAGATAAATATATTTTCAGGCAACATAATTATCAATGCAACAAGGTTAATTAATTAAAAGAAAGAAAAGTACACGAGATTCTTTTGAGAATACAAAGACACCAGGTCTAATGAGTGTCATCAGATTCAGAATAATAGTTGGTCTTCCTATTCTTGAACAAGTAAGAGATCCCAGTGGCATGCAATGCTGATAACGCATCAGCCCAAAGTCTCCATTTTTTTTTCCATAGTACGGAAAGAAGGTGGCACTGAAGGTCAACACCATGCCCAGCACAGAAAGGAATAGAAAATCTTCTTCTACACAACGTGTCGTCAGAACTGAAATGAACAACAGTATTGAAGTTGAAGATGAGATTAAAGCGATCGCATTTGATATCACAAGCACCATGAAGCATGAACCATTCGTCGTGGAGAAATATTTGAGAGCCCGTGTTGCTGTCGTTTCCGCCGGGCACCGTGAGGGCTGCGGCAAAAGCTACGGTGGCGATCAAAGTTGCAACCAGAATGCATGAATTTGCTGTCGTCTTCGCCCATTTTTCTCCTTCTTCCACGAGCTCTTTGTGTTCTTCGGTGAATAATTCGCACCGTGTTTTTTCTTCCATTTATTTATTCTCATTGTAAGCCCAACGATGTTCTCCACCTCCTTCAATCAGATAATTAGGTTTAGGTTAAAAGGCAATTGCAATTATAGCGTAATATATTGCAAAAATTTCACATGAAAAAGTAATTTGCAATTATGATAAAATGAGAAGAAAATATTTGATTTTATCCAGAAAATAGTTAATAAGTATACTACTCGAGACTATCGTGTGGATCATTTAATATTAAGATGGAAAAAACTCGAGTATTAAATATTTGACAATTAAGAGAGATAAATGTAAAACTAAACAAAATTATAAAAAATAATGAGTTGTAAAACATTTAATTGAGTTAAGAAGAGGAATCACCTCCTTAATTGGAGCCAAATTTTTTCCATTATTATTTTAAGTTAATTCAATATTTAAGATAATCACTGATTTAATTACTATTATTATTTTAAGTAATATTGCTGATTTAACCATTTTTAGAATCTCGAGACCCGCGGCTAATATATGAGAGGCCATCAAGGTCGGTTACCTCTTCTTGGTCAACAGAATCATCTTTCTTTGGTAATTACAATATTTCCACAATCTCTTTGAATTAAAGTGCATTTATGTAGCCTTCCTCCTCTTGTATGTTTCTCACAAACTTTTTTTAATGAACGGTGTGTCGTTTAAAAAAAAGAAAACCAAAACAAAATAATTTTTAGAGGTGACTATTTTTGAAATGACATATATTTACCCTTAGTTTTAGAAAAAAAAAATACAATTTGCAAATATTTCTTTTATAAAAATGGGCTTAAATACTATTTTGGCTTTTATGTTTTTTCTTTGTTTCATTTTTCTTCTACTTTCAAAATGTTTATTTTGGACAATCTTATAGTTTCAAATTTTGATCATTTTTAGTTTATGTAATTTTAAAATATGTGTATTTATCAGTCCATGTACTTTTAAAAATGACTATATTTTGGTCCGTTCATATCTCATTTATTGCATGACATTTCACTTGCAGTCAATTTCTTCAAGTGTAAACGTAAATTTGTATTAAAGCCTCTCTATTGTGTATGAAATTTATACTAAATTTCAAATTGGTCATTTTTTTAAAAGATAGAGAATAAAATTGGATGTTTTAAGGAGTAGAGAAACCAAAAAAAAAAAAAAAAAAGGTGAGAAAAATGTCGGTTAGTAAAAATACCTTAA